CTTTTAAAACATGTACAGGATATTTAATATAACTAAGGCTTGTTTTTTTTTAATCTGCATAATGAGGACAATAGCCACATCTCAATGAGTTATTGTGAGGTATAATGAAACTAATGTAGCAAAGATCACAAACATAACTATTATTTTTATTATTATGTAAGATAATATGACATACTATTGTTGTGCTCAATAAATCTGAACTATTCTTACTAACACTGAAACATATATAATTTTCATAAGTGTTTTGAATCATGCATTTGTATAAAATAATATTAATCAATCAACAACTATTATTCAACTAACAGTTTCTTTGCATGTTGCTAAACATGGGATTCTACTCATTACTCTTAAGCAAAATGCACATAAGATGGGAACAAATTTAGATTGCAACATAATTCCTTGTAAGATGTAAAACAGACTTAGAGTATGGCAAAAATCAAGAAAAAAATGGGAAAACCAAGTAATCAGGAATATTGCCTAGAGAAATTGGGACTTGCCTAAGCCAAATCTCAGGCATGTAAAAGACTTGAATATAGCTGTCCAAGATGAGGACCATGACACTCAGCACTTGGTCTGTTAACAGGCACTGGGCTGCACCTGCAACATGTAGGATTTCACTTGACCTTTAAAAGAGCCCTGAGAAGCAGATAAAACAGTTTCTCATTCATCCATCTATCACCTGTTTCCTGAGCACCTCCTTGGTACCCAATCCTGTTCTAGCCATGGAGGATATGCAATGAACAAAGCAAACAGACTTCTCCCTGGGGAGCTTACATTCTCCAGTGACTGGTAGCAAAACAAAAACAAAACAAAACAAAACAAAACATTAGATGTGACATAAGAATTGGAGTGCTGTAGGAAAAAAAACAAACAAACATTTTTTTCAAGGGTAATGAGTAGAATCCCTATGTCTAGCAACATACAAAAAAAATGCTAGTTGAATAATAATTGTCAATTGATTAATACTGTTTTATCAAAAATAAGGGAGGAGTCATGTTTTAAACATGGTTCAGGGAAGACCTTGCTGTTTTAGAGGTCACCAGGGGCTCAATGACTTGCACAAGGTCATACAACAAGTGGCCAAGGCTGGACTCAGATGTAGGTTTTTCTGACTTACAACTCTTTGCTTTGCCCACAAAGGCATATACGTAGGATGGTCAAAGCTTGCTTCTGAGAAAGCAGGAAGCTGATTGGATTCAAGGTGCAGGCTTTCTGTACTCAGTAAATAGAGGATAATAAATTTCACTAGGAAGAGAGCAGGTGATGGAAGTGTGGATTTGATGCTGCAGGAAAGAGGTTTTGTTTTTGTCTTGTTATTGGCAGTGAGTTGTTATAAGTCTACAGAAGTAAAATGGGAGTGGTACTGGCAGAAAGCCTGAAGGGAGGAGGCGGCTAGGAACCTACTGATAAAACAGAGGTGAGAAGCAATAATCTCTAGATTGAGAGGTTCTGGTTAAAAGGGCAAAGATATAAGATATGGAAGAAATACTGTTTGTAGTGGAAAGGAACTTGAACTAGATGAATCACTGGTTGTGGGAGAAGAACCAGGAGAATGAGTCAAGGCAAATGCTAGACATGGAGTCTGGGTGATTGGAGGGGGCGGGGGCTCTTTTAACCAAGAGTCAGAGGCTTGGAGCGGGTTAATGTTAATTTTGTTTTGGAATCATTTTATAATCCTGCACACACTGCAAGATAACTGGAAGCTCCCCAGGATATTACAAACGAGAGCTGGAGTCATTGCTCAAAATAAATGTTCTACTGAGTTGCCCAAATGAGAAACTCAGGAATCATCACAGATTGCTCCCTGTGCCTTGGCCATATCAACTCCAGTGTTCCCTCAGGCTCCAAAACATCCCACCTCCCCGATCCCTCCTGGAGATGCTCTCCTCTCTCTGTGCCATTGAGGTCCAACTTTTGCCATGTTATTTTCCTGGGTCTGCATAAACTTTCTTCTCTATCCTCACCTGGAGTTTTCTTTTTCAGTAAATATATTTTCATAGCACAAATTTTATCACAAGGTGAAAGGAAATGTGAGAAGACAAACTATCATGTATGGAACTTATGTCATTCATTCACGTGGCCATTCACTGAACATATTCTATCTCATTTAATCTTTGTAAATCCAAAGACTGATCTTTAGGGAGGCTCTGATTCACCTCATTGAAAGGAGACACTAAGGCTCAGAAAGAATAAAATTACTTAAGGATACAAATTAAGCTCATGAAGAAACTGGGCTTCAATCATGCTGTGTTTTTGTTTCAGTTAACTCAAAGTCTGACAGTAGATCCTAAATCGCTCACATTTTTAAGCAAAAGCCCAGATTTTTCTTGTAACATACAAGGCCATTCAGGATACACTGTCTGTGTCCTGTTCCACCCCGCCTCTTGTTACATGTGCTGGAGGACCGGTACCATTCTAGGAGGTCATGCTCTTTCAGAAACAAGCTGCACCCTGTGTCTAGGGCAGAGTTGGGCTCCATGCAGCCAATGTTTTGAAGCATTTCATGTTGCTTTTGTGCACTGTGCTCTTTGACTCTCATTCCAAAATTTTTCAAGTTGAAATACCACCTTCCCTTTTTGGATTTATGTTTCATCCCAAACTTTATCTCCTGAGTACTGGTACTTATATCATTACCTTTGACCCTCTGCAAAACTCTTTGCCTGTTTTTCTTTTTCTTTTTTTTTTTTTGACTTGTTATCTATTTAAGTACATGGATGATTTATTTTTTTGGATATTTGTTTCCTGCACCAAGAACAATGCCTGGATTAGAACAGAGACTCAGTAAATGTTTATTTTATGATGGAAGAAAGGGAGAAGATGTTTAAGGGAATAATAGGACTGTTATTGTCTTTCTCCTAAACCAGACTGTTAACTCCTACTAGAGATAGGCCATGTTTATTTGAACTTCCTTGTATCTCCAGTTCTTGGCACAGTGGTTGTTACCTGTAGGCACTCACACTCACAAACTACTGTGAATAAACACATAAATGTATGTGTAGTTATTATATGGTGAAAGTATTGATTTTGCATGACTTTTTCATGAAGTCCTTTTCCTGGGCATGGGGGAATGTTCCATGAGCCCTCTTGGAATGTTCTGAGTCTGTACAACACAAAGGTCTTGAACACAAGGAGGATCCACTATAGAGCTCAACCCTCACCACAGGGTTCTCTACCTGGTAGGTAGCTAGGAAGGTGCCAGGGTTCCTGTTTTGACTTTGCAAGGTGTTAGGAAGTTTGCTAGAGACTAGAGGGAAGATGGCAGCAGCCACAGTAAGGTCAATAGGAAGGCTAATGAGATGCTGGAGAAGATGATCTGGCCTGAGAAGCTGAAGCACAGCAGTCACATCTGGTTCCTGTGCTCTGAAATTTTGACTGTTGGTGTGTTCTTTGCCTTGCCTGGGAATACTTTAAGATTTGCTTAAGGTGGTTTTTTTGTTTGGTTTGTTTCTTTGAAACGTTAGTTTAAAAATGCGGTGAATGAAAGCGAGGAAAAGGTTTTGGCTCAAGTGTGGGCTCTTTTTCAGGAGGCCACAGGATGTCTCTAAGAGCAAGAGAAAGGTGTTAAATTGATAAATTCAGCTTAAGGCTTTTTCGGTACTTGGATAAAATTTGACCCAAAGTGGCCTCTGGATTTAGTGAACTGTAGCCTATCTTGATATATAAACAAATTGCAATGTAATCTATAGGACTGTACCAAGGAATGGAATCTAACCATTCACAACAGCTGAACCTCCAGCCAATCAGAGGCTGAACACTGCCAAAACATGACCAAGGCACTGTTCACTTCCTGTTCCCTGGGTGTAAATATAACCTGTACCCATGGTATGTTGGGGCATTCTGAACCAACTTTGTTCTGAGATGCTATCCAGTTTTAGTACTTCTTTTTTTTTTCTCAAATAAGCTTGGTTAATTTTAACACAGATTTTTTTTTTCTTAACAGAGGATGGTCCTAAGACTCCCAGACCTTGAGATTCAGAGTGAGTGAAATCACCAAAAAACAGAAAAACAAAAACAAACAAAACCCACACATGCACAGGATGTAGAATAGAGATGAGATTATGGTCACCATTTTACCACAAGAGATTCCAGAAGAAATAACCTAATAAATATGCAGGTGCATAAGTTGTGCTTAAACATTTGCTCACTAGAAAGATTCAAATACATTTTTTGGTTACTTACTGGTTATTGAATAGTGGAAGGAGATTGAGGAAGGACAGGTTAGAGTGAGAAGCAATTCAAATGCAATCAAAATGGAAATAAAGTATTTCTTATAAATTATAATGTGTCCATGCAAAAATATGCTTTGATTTATAGTCTCTACAATTTGTCATCCAGGTGAAAGTTATATACCTACAATTATAATGGATTGATACACTCTAATATTGGACTCAAATACGTTTTTTCAACCACCAGAACTTATAGAAATATTCCAAGGTTACTTTAAAATAGGAATATGGATGGCAGGCTCACTTCGTGAGAATTCTCTGCCCTATATGGTGAAATATGACTTGAGGTGGCATTTCCTTGGAAGCTCTCCACAAATTTTTAGTTATCGAAATGAAATGACCCTTCTCACAAGCGGGCACTGTCAGAGCACCTGTGACTTGTTGGTTCCTGGAAAGCATGGGGCAAGGCACTAGATTATTCAAATAGGCACTGTTCAGATACTCCAGACATAAACTGCCCAGAGGAAATTGTTTAAATATCCATACGGTCAGTCCAGTTTTATATCTATCCAGGGAGGACTGGTTTTAGCCCTGATACATTTTATCTGAAAATACTTTATTCATCTTTAAGTGTAGAATTAATTTGTTCATCCCCCAACCTGACATTAAGCAGAACATATGTCAGAGGAAAAAGAAATGAATGACTTAAAATATTAAGTATGATCATGTGATATGCCACATTTAGACAAACTCAGTAATTCTCTCTTGTATTTTCTTATAGGCAGTTTTTCATGTTAATTAAAACCCAATAGTATCTACATAAATTTGACTTACCAGAAATACTGCTATAGATATTCCAACCAGAAAGCCTGCTATCACATCTGACCAATGATTTCGATATTCTGCTACTCTGTTGAGTCCAGTAAGAAAAGCCAAACACATTAATCCCAAGCATAGAACTGGCTTGGCAAGTCTGGTTCCTTTGGCTTTGATTGTGTTGGTAATGTACATCTGAAAGAGTAAAAAAACATGACCTTCCTTGATGGTATTTTCTTTTTTTCTATGCATAGCATATTACATGTATGTACACATAAATATTACAGACATATATACAACTATATGGCTCAATTAATGTAGTTTAAGAATTTTTTTGACTGAAGTTTCATTAAAGCACAATTTAAGATTAGATATTATTTAATTTTACTTACTCGCTGTGACCATTTCTTACTATTGGCCAATTATTATCACCTAGGAACAATGAGCACAGATATTCTAGGTAGCCTTTTTGAAAAGAAAAAAATTGTTAACATACCTTTTCTTGTATTATTTGAATTTACATTTTAGCGTGATCTTAACAATATTTTTAGAAGGGGAAAACTGATAATGTCTATAATGTTTTCACTGTTATATGTCATAATGGCAGGACGCATGCTGGATAAAATAAGAACTGTGAATATTGCTTAAAAAAATAAAATGGAGCAATTTCCAACAAACAGATATTACTTTGAAGAAGGAATTTAAGAGTCAATACAGTGCCAAGGTCTATTTTTATGTTTTTATCTGAAATGGTGAAATTACTTTCTGTAAATTTATCAGCCAAAAATTAGGACGACAATAACAAAAAAATATGATGGAAATGTATCAGCTAATAAATAGATACTTATATTTTTGGCATGTTCACACACATTAATGAAGACTATGTAGTGTTATTTGATTGTACTGAATGAAAAATTATGTGCCACCATACTCAAGAATCATTTGTTCCTATTCCTAATCTGACTTGCTCTAGAGTTCACCTGCTCATATTTAAATCATGTATTACTTCATAAGCAAATGTGACGATTAAAGGTGTCAATTATTATTATAGTCAATAGGAAAGTAATTACAAAAGAGATAGCTTTACCAGCACAATCAAATTTTATGGTTTTAATGTCAGTAAGTATGCAGTAATGATAATATTCCCAGAAAGATACCTAGAAATGTATATAATCACCTGACTATTGCCATGAGTTGAATAAAAAATGCATTTGCCTAGGGGAGTAGACCAAAATATTTAAGTTTTTAGATCACAGCAACCATTTTAGAACACTACGAACTTTTGTAATTATCTTTTTTGTGTTTTTCCCCTCTCTAGGCAAAGTGTGAAGCCCTGTTAGCTGCCAGAAGAGGCAGTATGAATATTTAAAGAGTACAAATGATACAATTTTTGTCTCTAGCCAAGTCCTAACCCTTTGCAATCTATCCTGGTTCCCAATATTTTATTTTATTTTATTTTTTTATTGGTTGTTCAAAACATTATAAAGCTCTTGACATATCATATTTCATACATTAGATTCAAGTTGGTTATGAACTCCCAATTTTACCCCAAATACGGATTGCAGAATCACATCGGTTACACATCCACATTTTTACATAATGCCCTATTAGTAACTGTTGTATTCTGCTACCTTTCCTATCCTCTACCATCCCCCCTCCCTCCCCTCCCATCTTCTCTCTCTACCCCATCCACTGTAATTCATATCTCTCCTTGTTTATTTTCCCATTCCCCTCACAACCTCTTATATGTAATTTTGTATAACAATGAGGGTCTCCCTCCATTACCATGCAATTTCCCTTTTCTCTCCCTTTCCATCCCACCTCATGTATCTGTTTAATGTTAATCTTTTCTTCCTGCTCTTCCTCCCTGCTCTGTTCTTAGTTGCTCTCATTATATCAAAGAAGACATTTGGCATTTGTTTTTTAGGGATTGGCTAGCTTCACTAAGCATAATCTGCTCTAGTGCCATCCATTTCCCTGCAAATTCTATGATTTTGTCATTTTTTAGTGCTGCGTAATACTCCATGGTGTATAAATGCCACATTTTTTTTATCCATTCATCTATTGAAGGGCATCTGGGTTGGTTCCACAGTCTAGCAATTGTGAATTGTGCTGCTATGAACATCGATGTAGCAGTATCCCTGTAGTACGCTCTTTTAAGGTCTTCAGGGAAAAGTCCAAGAAGGGCAATAGCTGGGTCAAATGGTGGTTCCATTCCCAGCTTTCCCAGGAGTCTCCATACTGTTTTCCAGATTGGCCGCACCAGTTTGCAGTCCCACCAGCAATGTACAAGAGTACCCTTTTCCCCACATCCTCTCCAGCACTTGTTGTTGTTTGACTTCATAATGGCTGCCAATCTTACTGGAGTGAGATGGTATCTTAGGGTGGTTTTGATTTGCATTTCTCTGACTGCTAGAGATGGTGAGCATTTTTTCATGTACTTGTTGATTGATTGTATGTCCTCCTCTGAGAAGTGTCTGTTCAGGTCCTTGGCCCATTTGTTGATTGGGTTATTTGTTTTCTTATTGTTTAATTTTTTGAGTTCTTTGTATACTCTGGATATTAGGGCTCTATCTGAAGTGTGAGGAGTAAAAATTTGTTCCCATGATGTAGGCTCCCTATTTACCTCTTTTATTGTTTCTCTTGCTGAGAAAAAACTTTTCAGTTTAAGTAAGTCCCAATATTTTAAAGGGAAAAAAAAACCCTAAAAAACTAAATAGTCCCCATGTTGGCCTGTGATCTTCAAAATTAGTTCTGTATATTCAAAGCCAGTGCTCAGTAGAGCTTAATAATTTCAGTTACAAGGATCAGCACATAGGACAGGGAAATAGGAAGAGATGAGAAAGAGAAAAAGATGGTTTTGTCATTCTAAATGTATTCAAGAGTTCTGCCTTCATGACTACCAAGGCAGGGGTATTGTGCCACATCAGGTTTCCAGTGATGCAGCAAAGGCAGTTAGTTATTCCTTGGATGTCTCCTCTGTATGAAGGGAGAGTGGTATTTGGACTGCTTGTAAGATTTCCTTTAATATAGTTAGAGGACTGATTGATAGTTCCTTACCTTAGCCTTTTTTCACATCTGTCAGAACTCTAAAGATTGCCTATCCTTACTAAGACAAAACAAATATGGTACAGTGGAATAATATTAATACCACTAATATTAGTTATAGTCATCATTTAATGAGTGATCACTATGCAGGGAAAATTTCTAAATATATTACATTATCTTATTAAATTCTTTTAAAAAAAATCCCTGAAATTTAGTTACCATTGTTACCTTCTTCATCTCAAAAATGGGAAAACAGAACCAAGGTAAAGCTTGTTATGAAGAGTATACAGCTTGATTATTGGGATGGCATTGTTGAGAAAGAAGAGATATAAATGGAAATTAAGGGGAAGATATTTAGGTACTTAAGCACCTAAGTATTTCTTACTTTTCCTTTCTTCTTGATTTATTGTTGAGAGCAATGGTTGATGGACAAAAACTGAATATCAGTAAACATAAGAGAGTTGGAATTAAAGACAGGAGAAACAAAGCCACGATAATATCACAGGAGTGAGGTTACATTTATACTCCACCCTTAGCGAGAAATGGGAAAGTAGGGTAAGTGTGGTTCATGTACAAAACCTCCTACAGAATCTATATGACTTTGATAAAGGCTTGCTTTGCCTTATCCCCAAAGGCCATCTCAGATACAGCTCAGCCTTTACCTGTTCAAACTGTGGAGACTCATAGTAACCTGTGAGCTTGTACTATAATGTGCTGAAGTTTCTCCTAAACTACCTTAATGATTTAAACAAGGCTTATATGGGACCCAAAGACACCATATGGCCACTTTCAAAACTAATGAAAAAGATTTTGTATCAGAAAAATCCTGGAATTTGATGTTTTTTTTTTTTCTCTATCAGATCCCACTTCATGTCCAGATGCAAAGGGAAGACGAGAAGGTGACTTAATTTCCAGGGTTATGAGAATTTCAAGTTACAGATTTTTTTTATTAGTGCATTTCAATTATACAGAGTAATGGGTTTCATTGTGCATATAAATTATTAAATCAGCATAGATGCCTGTCAACATAAGAATGTATAAAGAAAGATTTAACTTGAAGGCAGATCATAGCAGTTATTTATAATGCACAGATTTTTCTGGAGCATAATCAGCTAGCATGGATATAACAAAAGAAAAATTAGAGTTTTCACTTGTACTTGGCAACTCTGTAGTACTTTATGAAACCAAGTGCATTTTAACCAGGCTAATTGTGTTATCTTTACAGAAAGTCTATTATTACTAATTTGCAGAAGAGGAAATTATGGCATAATAATCTATTAAGTGAGCTGGATACAGGACAGGAATTTATTATTTATGCTTTCTTGGTTTTTAATTCACTTATGAAACCATCTTGATTAAGCAGATGTCAAAATGTAGCTTAAATAAACACAAACAGAAAGATGATATGATTTGAGCAGGACAGCATTCACTCAGTCCTCAAGGGTCAGTGGAAGCTCACTGCCTTACAGGCCAACTCATTTAGCCATATTAATAGTTCTCAGGCACCTATTCCATAAATAACTGTTAGCACTAAGGTGCAGAAGGATAAAGTTGATCATTTGCTGCTTGTTAATAACCTGGTATATATTCTTGCACATTTTCTCTTTGTTTATACAAATATACAATAATTAACATACATATTTTGCATATTTGTTTACTTTGACTAAAATATAATCATTATGCCCAAATTATATCTGTCATGTGAGTTAACTCACTTGTTATAATAAAGATCTATATTTTGAATAGATTGAGAATCTATTATACTATTTATAAAACAATACTATTATTAAAATAAATTTTTTAAAAACCCAAATGTTTGTTAAGCATCTCCTGTGCATCAGTGTTGAGTTTCTTCAAGAAGGCAGCTAAGGCTTGATTTTGAAGAATAAATACTACAGCTCCAGGTAAGGGAAAAGAGGGCCACGGGAGCTATCTTAGACACAGGACAACATAGGTAATCCTATAATGTGCTCTCAAAGAACTCTGTCTGTCTTCTGTCAGAGTGCTTCCCACCATCTGTGGTTATTATTAATTTTAGTTGTTTTCTTCATTAGAGTGAGGATATATAAACCAAGTCTGGGTTCTTCACTGTATGCCTTGTGTTTTGCACTGTGCCTGACCCATAGTAAACACTAGATAAACACTAG